CGTACGCGCATGCACACTTGCACACAGTTAGTATTCCTGCACGCCAAACACCATGTGGCATCTATGAATGTCAGCATCAGTGCTGCTCGATGACACCATGGATGATTCCCTCCAACAATTTACTGATGATCAAGAGTGGCTTGATGGGACAGGAACTGGCTAAATTGGATTTGTCTTACATTTTTTCACATGACGTCAGTGTTGTAGCTGCCCTTGAATAGCTTGGTTAGTGGTGTGGCAAGTTCTGGAGCGTGCAACTTCAGTACTGTTATGGACCAGACCAAACCCCGTCAAAATGTATTAAGAAAATATTGGGTCTAAACTATCTTGTCATTTTCAAAGACAAGTGTAAGGTGTTGTGTTCCTGATGCAATTTGACTGGCTTGAAATAAAACGCACTTTATTTTTACACTCCAGTTAAAATACTGACAAAATGAGAGTTTTAAAAAAAAAAGTTAACTACAATTCTATTGAAATACATAACAAGATAACATTTATGTTAACTAACACTAATTAGCAATTCCCAGATAGTAACATTCCATAAAACACCCTTGGCAAAGGCAAATTCAGTAAAATAGATCGTCTCACATACAATGCTTCTCCGATCTGGAAGGAAAGAACATCAAGAGAAAGTTCAGAAAGAGGGAACTCGAGCATTTTGCTGCAGCAGTGAGAAATGTAAGCACCTTTCAAACCCCAACAGCTACTGAAAGTTAAACTAAAATCCTGGTTCTGTGGGAGCTTGACCCCACCTATTCATGTTGCTTCTATTGTTCCAACTTTAAAATAAAACCAAAAGCCTCAGAAGCTGCTAACTTTATTGGCTTGGGATATAACCTTTGTGATACCTAATGCTTCCAACCATTTCTTGATATGGAGTGAATTTAGTTGGCATCTTTGATGCTGCAGACCTCTAGAGGATTCTAAGATGGATCACACATGCGTCACTTTTGGCTGAAGTGTTGTGAATGCTTCAGCCTAATTTTTTTTATGCTGGTGTAGTGGGTTTCCCTAATACTGAAGATGTGGATGTTTGTGGAGCTCCCTCTAGTGAGTTGTTTAGTTGTCCACCAACATTCATGAGTGGTAGCAGCAGGACAAAAGAGCTTAAATCCTATCCATTGGTTGCAGAATTGCTTAGCTCAATATCTTGCTGGTTATGCTGTTTCACACCAAGAACCCTAGTTGACACCTCATTTTTAGATATGCTAGGTGTTTCTCTTGACTTGCCCACCTGCACTGTTTGAACTCCGGTTGATCCTCTGGCTTGATGTTAATGACAGAATGGGGGTATGTAGAGTCATGAGGTTGCAGACCATGAGGTGTCAGAGTACTGTTTGGTTGCTCGTAATTGTGCAGTGGCTTATGGATGTCCAGACTTGAGTTGCTTGATCTGTTTGAAGGCTATCAAGCATGCTGGTTAATGCCACATAATGTGATGGTGATGTTCTCGATTTGAAGACGGACTTCAGCTTCACAAGTTCTCTGTAGTATCATTCTTACCAGTACTGTTGTGGGTGGATGGATGCAGCTATGGCAGGCAGATTGATAAGGTGAAGTGTGTTTTTCCTCCCAATTCGTTCCTTTACCACCTGCTACAGACCCAGCCTCAAGGGAGGTGAGAGTAGCTGTCCTTGACATCTAGGTAGCATTTGACTATGACAACAAGAAGCCCTAGCAAAACTGAATTCATTAGGAATCAGAGCAAAACCTCTCTGCCAGTTGGAGTCACACCTGTAACAAAAGATGGTTGGGGTTATGAAGGGCAGTCATCTCAGCTGCAGGAGTTCCTCAGGGTAGTGTCCTTGGCTCAACCACCACGAACGGCTTCATTAATGACTTTGTCTCTAATGACTGCTCAAACTTCAGAATCATTTGTGACTCCTGAGCTACTGAAGCAGTCCGTATTCCAAGTGCAGCAAGACCAGGACAATATCAGGCGTGGGCTGACAAGCCGCAAGTAATGTTCATGCCATGCAATTGCCAGGTAATAACCTTCTCCAACAAGAGAGGATCTAACTATCACCCCTTGACTTTCTATTCTGCCAACATCTTGGAAACCCCACTATCAACATCCTGAAGGTTACCAATGACCAGAAACTGGATTAGCCACCTAAATATGGTGGCCGCAAGAGCAGATCAGCGGTTAGGAATCCTGCAACGAGAAGCTCACCACCTGACTAACCAAAGCCTGTCCAAAATCTATTAGGCAGAAGGTCAGGAGTGTAATGGAAAACTCCCCACTTGCCTGGATGAGTGCAGTTTCAACAAGACTCGAAGCTTGACTCCAACTAGGGCAAAGCAACCTGCTTGATTTGACACCCCTTCCACAATCTCACACCCTTCACCACCGGTGTTCAGCAGCAGTGTATACCATCTGCAGGATGCACTGCACATATTCACCATGGCTGCTTAGACTGTGCCTCCAAACCCATGATCACTACGCTTTAAAGTGACCACGGCAGCAGATACATGGGAAAACCACTACGTGCAGGCCACTCACCGTCCTGACAGGAAAGTATGTTGCCATTCCTTCAGTGTCACTGGGTCAAAATCCAAGAACTCCCTCCTTGACAGCATTATAGATCTATCTACACCAATGGACTGCAGGAATTCAAGAAGGCAGTCTACCACCACCTTCAAGGGTAACTAGGATGGGGCAAGAAATGCTCGCCCAGCCAGTTATGCCTGCATCCTGTGAGTGAATTTTAAAAAAAAACTACTGGAGGGATGGATTATACTTTGGGAAGGGGAGATTCCAGTAAGTATTATTGAGTGGCTATGTCAAAGCATCACTAACAGCATTGTGGTGATGTACATAGCCACCAGATTAGACTTTCAGAAAAAGATAAGACCAGCACAAGGAAATAACCTATTTGCCCTTCTGCCATTTTCAGATGCATCTGTTACGTTTGTGGAGTCAATCCTGAGCTGTATTGAGTAAATGACTTTGTTTTTGGCCCCCATATTAATTCATATGTAAATGTCATCCTTTTTCTTGTTAAAACAGTTCCTTGTCTGCCAGTTTATCCTTACAATTTGCCCAAAGTGACTAATAACTAGCTGCCATTGATATCATTCTACCCATGCTATTTATTCAATTCTATCCATATTATTTCATTTGTATCCACTTCTGTGATCATATTGGTTGTTTTCAAAGTACAGTAGAAGCACAACAGCACATAAAAATATTCCACCAATATTTAGCAATTTACAACTGATCTTTTACAAGTCCACAAACTTTTCTAAATCATTAGAATTTTATTTAGTGAAGCAAAACACTGAATCTTGTCTGTCTTTTTTGCTTCCTTAACCTGCACATTCAGTGCTGTTCACAAAACTGATATGTTGGTGTGTTGCTTAGAAATTGGCAATAAACTTGCTGCAGAAGATAAATTTTAATCATTCACGGTGCTGTTTCTTTCAAAGCTTCTAGTCTCCAAAATGAATTGGAGATAGTAAGTACTGCAGTGGAGCTGGACAAACGCAGCAGGTCAGACAGCTTCAGAGGAACAGGAAAGTCAACGTTTTGGGCCGAAACCCTCCTTCAGGACTGGAGAGGAGGAGGAGAGCCCAGAAATAAATAGTGGGAGGGGATTGTGGCTGGGGATAGGTAGGTGGGATGGTGATAGGTGTTTGCAGGTAAGGGGTTACGGTGATTGGTCAGTGGGAAGGATGGAGCGGATAGGTGAATACGAAGATGGACAGGTTAGGGTACGTCAGGTCAGGGAGGTGGGACATGGGATAAGGTCTAGAGATGGAGGGGTTTTGAAGTTGAAGTCAATATTCAAGCCCTTGGGCTGTAAGTTCCCAAGGCGAAATATTAGGTGTTGTTCCTCCAGTTGACATTTGGCCTCACTCTGACAGTGCAGGAGGCCAAGGATGGATGTGTCACCGAGGGAGTGGAAGGGGAAATTAAAATGGATGGCAACTGGAAGGTTGGATTGGTTGGTGTGTGCAGAGCGCAGATGCTCCGCGAACCGGTCTCCTAATCTGCGTTTGGTCTCCCCAATATAGAGGAGACCACGTTCGGGAGCAACGGATGCAATAAATCAGATTGGATGAGGTGCAGGAGTTGTTTAACTTGTGTTTGTTAACACTTAATGGAGCACTGTCACATTTTTATTCTCAATTTTTTTTTTCCAACTCTCTTTTTCTGAAGCAGTTCAGTTTTGGAATACACTTTCGTTCTCACTGTGCACTTGCTGGAACTGTTCCAACTGCTTGTGCATCATGTTGTTATGGTAGCATAAAACGGTCATGTGAAAAAACAATATAATTGCTGATTCATGTTGACCTAACAGGGAAAAGTGACAAATTGATGTACAATCATGCAAACTAAATTATTTTTACTGTTTGGCGTGAGTGATGCTTTACTACCAAGTTAGTTGTGTAATATGTGTAGACTGTTGGCACCTGAAACAAATGCTAACATTGAACTTCACCATGTGAAGTAACTGCCCAACTTGAACACTAGCAATAGCTTTAACCTTAGATCACACTGATTCTGAACTCATAGCTGATTATGAATTCTTGTTATAGTGAATAAGCCCTGATATTTCTGCTTGAAATATACGGAGTTCTTGTACTATAACTGGAAAATTTGAAGTCGATAATAAAACTTGCTAACGTTAATCACTTTGGTCAAAGTGAGTGACTGCAACCTGGACGTTTCAGGTGGTGGAGTTTATATATCCCTCAAATGACTGTTGCAAAACTTAGTGGTGAGAGTCAGTAAATAGTCCATGGAGGGAATCATGCCTGAGCTTGAATACATCCATCATCCAAGTTTGCACATCTCGCATTACCATCTTTTGGTTTATATTATTGATAAGTCACTTCTATGTATTGAACCATTGTGAGAACCATTAATGTTTCCGTTTAAGCAATTCTTTGCAGCTATTCAGACTGATTTTTCAAACTTTAAATTGTTGATCTTCCAAAATGTAGCTGTTCATCTGGCTGAAACTGATTTAGTATTTGGTTTGCTTTTTCTCCAGGTGTCCCAGGTTGTGTCCATGCCACCGAATCACTTCCCAGTAGGCAGTAACATGACCACAGTCCATCTGTGCTCCGATGGAACTTACATCTATTGGATCTGGTCTCCTGCAGGATTGAATGAGAAAACTCCAAAGGGCCATTCTGTATTCATGGATGTATTTGAACTTATGGTAAGGTTCTCCATAATTTTACACTGAAACTGATTTAGGTATGTTTGTTTTGTTAAGCCGTCATGATCTTACCTTCCATTTCCAGAGTGTATTGTTTTTAAATCTCAAATTTATTGTATGATGAAACTGCCAGTTTGTTTTGACTATTGCTTTCACACTTAGTTGTATGGAAGACATCCGCTGTAGATATGATATATCACTGAAATCCTTAATCAAGATTGTGATTTGAATAATTGAGTAGTGATATGTATGCATATCTCCTTCAAGTGCTGTTCCCAATATATTTTAGAAGGTTAGCATACTGCTTAACTTAGGAATTTTATTTAGACTTTTACGTTCTTTTTCAAAAACATTTAGAATAAATATATATATTGTGAAAGAGAAGTGCAAAACATGAGCTATAACATTCACCACTGTTCTGTTCTCTAATTCATACTGCTATTTTAAGTCAAGGTTCTATATGTTGTTCATCTGTTACTTCAGTTGCAGTTAGTATGTAGTTTAGAAAGTACTAGGCAGGATACAAAATGATGGAAAGGGAGAATAAATTACTTGCATTCCTATTTCTAAAAATTGAATTGAATTTCCACATACAGACATTCCAACATTAATCATATTTGGAAAAAACAACAAAGTTGTTTTTTATTCATTCACGGGATGAGGGCGTTGCTTGCTCAACTGCATTTATTGCCCATCCCTAATTGCCCAGAAGGCAGTTAAGAGTCACCCGCATTGCTGTGGTTCTGCAGTCACATGTAAGCCAGACTAGGTACCAAGTTTTCTTCCTTAAAGAATATTAGTGAACCAGATGGGTTATTCCAACAATGGATTCACGGTCATCATTAGACTCCTTAATTCCAGATATTTATTGAAGTCAAATTCCACTATCTGCCATGGCGGGATTTGAACCCAGAACATTATCTGGGTCTCCGGATTAACAGATAATACCACTAGGCCATTGCTTCCCCATGCACTGCTGAAGAAAAAAGCATCTTGTACCAAAATTGCTGTAGCAACCAATTAATTTCAAAGAAAAGTGGCTTACTGCAGCTACTCCATCAAAATTTTTCAAACTTTAAATTGTAAATCCACCAAAATGTGGTTGCTCATCTGGCTGAATCTGATTTAGCATGTTGTTTGCTTTTTCTCAGTAACTTGCCCAGCACTACTGTTAAGCTGACTGCTCAATTTCTTGGGCTATCCCTCCTCCCTTATAAAACAACATTACAATGTTAATAATGTTCCAGAGTCATGATTTTGAAAAATGATGATCAGACTTTCTTTACTTCCACCAGCAGCCTGGGAAACACTTCCTCTGGGCCATGTTTTCAACCATGCAGACATCTTAATTTTACCTCCCTCATTTTTTATGTCATCTCAGCCTTCACAGTCCTCCTTCATTCTTCATTTTGAAACACTTTACCTTTTTAGCCTCTTATTGATTCATCACTTGGTTAATCTGTTGCTCCGATCTTTGTTGAAAACCTCCTCGGGTGTTCCTTTGATTTTACTTGTTAATTTTTTTGAGACCTGTCCTTGCTTTCTTAATTTTTTAATACCATTTCATCCCTCCATCCCTCCA